AAGACACAAACCTAAAATACAAAGCAATATATTCATTAATAGGTGAAGCTTTTCTAGAAAATTACTATGGCATAACCCCAACAAACTCTCTTATTTCAGAATTCCAATATTCTATCTATACAGATTTATTTCTAATTAGACTTTCTCTTTAACTCTTTTCTTTCTAAGTATCTCTTTCCTTTCAATGTCTTTGATCTACGTATAGCCTCTACTGAAATGTCTTTGATCTACGTATAGCCTCTACTGAAATGTCTTTGATCTACGTATAGCGTCTACTGAAATGTCTTTGATCTACGTATAGCGTCTACTGAAATGTCTTTGATCTACGTATAGCCTCTACTGAAATGTCTTTGATCTACGTATAGCCTCTACTGAAATGTCTTTGATCTACGTATAGCCTCTACTGAAATGTCTTTGAAATGTGTATAGCCTCTACTGAAATGTCTTTGATCTACGTATAGCGTCTACTGAAATGTCTTTGATCTACGTATAGCCTCTACTGAAATGTCTTTGATCTACGTATAGCCTCTACTGAAATGTCTTTGATCTACGTATAGCCTCTACTGAAATGTCTTTGATCTATGTATAGCCTCTACTGAAATGTCTTTGAAATGTGTATAGCCTCTACTGAAATGTCTTTGAAATATGTATAGCCTCTACTGTAATGTCTTTGATCTATGTATGGGCTCTGCTGTAGAGTCTTTGATTTATGTATGGGCTCTGCTGTAGAGTCTTTGATCTATGTATAGACTCTACTGAAATGTCTTTGAATTATGTATTTATTCTAGTTAACTGTAATTGGTTAATGTATCTCTTCTAATGAAACGTCTTTGATTTATTCATATATTCTAGAGAATCATTTTTGATCTATGCATCTATTTTCTTGTTTTTGTTTTCGATTTTTTAAAAAAATTCTCTTTACACTTTACCTGACCAGTAAACCGCAAGGTAAGCAGGCTCGACTCGAATAACTGAGTGATTTTCTGATTGTTTGGAATCAGCAGAAGAATAAATCACGTGATAAAGTCCTAGAAATTTTATGAGATGTCAAAGCAGCCAGAGCAAATGTCACTTTCTTTTTTTTCGAAGCCGAAGCATGGAGCAGCTGAATGTCAGCTGACACAGGTAGAGCGTTGCGTCTTGACGTGACCAATAGCTGATGACTTCCTGGTTTACTGACTGGTCACGTGGTGCTATCTTTAAAAATATATCGCCAGATAACCATCTTTGAATTTCGTTCGCATTTGTTCTAGAAAATAAGTTGTCGAGGGGTTGTCTTTCTTTTCCTATGAAGATTTTGGTAGCTACAGTACTTATTAGGTAAAGCACATAGAGGCAGAACGGAATGTCGCGAGTTTGAATCTCAGTCTTGTCTGAAAAGTAGATACTTTTGAAGAACATGAATTGCTGAGAGGGAATACATTCACAATACTGCAAAAGATTTGAAAACACGAGGTTAGATCAAGTCGAGGGATTATCATACAATACAGTCTTCATAACTAGGGATGTATCATACACAAAAGTCTACACTAATGAAGTATTATCATACAACATATCTATACATAATCATACAACTCATCTACACGACTGAGGTTTTATTATTCAAAACAGTCAGTCTAGAATACCCCTTGTATTCCACGTATGAAGCATTTTTTTTTTGCCTTTATAAATCTCTCTCTCTCTCTATTAACTGTTGGCTCTGATTCTCTATTAAACAATATTTAAAATACAAAGCAATATGTTCATTGATAGGCGAAGCTTTTCTAGAAAAAAATCACTAAAAATTACTATATAGAATACTGATTAAGTTGGAAAAAAATGTCATTCCGAGAAAACAAAATCAAATATTCGTCAGAGATCAGCATATGAGTAAGAACACTTCATTCCGAAAGTTAAACATCTCTCTGATCTGTAACATATTATGACTTTGCACAAAGATAGCCTATAAACAAGCGCGTCAACTCTCAGAGATCAACTGATTTGTGCTTTATATATTTGATTAAATATTAAATACATAAATCAAACTTGAACATGTGTTGGAATAAATTACAGGTGTTCTAGATATGGACGAAACATCAGCGGTGTATGTTTGAGTGGGCTCCTGAAATACAACCATGTGGGGCAGGTCTTGGGCTGTTACTTGCTATGTAAACATTTACCGAGCTTAACTTTGAGTGCCTAAATATGTCGACTCTACTAGGCGTACACTTGTACAGGAGGTCGATGACTGCTGGGTTTCTTACAAATTTGAACTCAAAAGAAAAAGTTTAGTTTTTATTTAAAGAAAGTAATTAATTAATGGCTTGTTTTCCAAGATACAGGAGGCGCGGTGGCTTAGTGGTAAAGCGCTTGTCTTCCTAACTTAGGGTTCCCGGGTTCGAATCAAGGTGAAGACTTGGATTTTTTATTTCGGGATCTTTAGCGCGCTTCTGAGTCCACCCAGCGCTAATGGGTACCTGGCACTAGTTGAGGGAAAAGTAAAGTCGATAGGTCGTTAAGCTGGCCACATGGCACCCTCGTTAACAAATGACCTTAACATCATCTGCCCTATCAATTTCAAGGTCTGAAAAGTGGAAGGGATTACTTTTAAAAAATTCGTGTTGGTATATGTGTGACGGTGTCATAACATTTTATATACGTGTGATTGTGTAAAGGGTATGCGTGTCATTGGGAGTATACTGGTAATTCTGGTATAGGATTGTTTTAAAGCACTAAGTCTAGCGTAGGACTGACAGCATGATGGTGTGTATGTGTTATCCGATGTAGAGAGTCCCTGCAACCACTTAAAGGACGTGTGGCTTAGTGGCAAATAACCAGTTGGCCCCCTAACAAGGAGCTGGAGCTCGAGGCTCAAAGTACACCAGGAGATTTTTTAATTGAGAGGAGTCTTGAGTTGTGCTGCGTTTGTTTAGCGCCCAGATCTTCTCGTTAGCAGCTCACCTAGATGTCCACACAAGAGATAGGACCAGAAGGAACTGACCCACACGAGAAGTTAAAGAAACACGGGCGGAGAAGCAACTACAGGCGAGGCGACCTTAATTCGACCTTGAAGAAGGATTTTAATGATCACTTCTTGTCGTTTTTCCAGTTGACGCAGAATAAATTATTTAAGTTGACAGGCTTGAACCACGTGGGTGAAGAAAGTGGTCCCGGGGAATACGTGGGTGAAGTCCCGGGGAACACGTGAGTGAAGCAAGTGGTCCCAGGGAATACGTGGGTGAAGCAAGTGGTCCCAGGGAATACGTAGGTGAAGTCCCTGGGAATACGTGGGTGAAGTCCCGGGGAATACGTGCGTGAAGTCCCGGGGAATGCGCGGGTGAAGCAAGTGGTCCCGGGGAATACGTTGGCCACGCCCGTTGCCACACACAAACATCGCTTCTGTTTCTCTCCTGTTTCAACCTTTTGACACAACAGTTATCACAAAGAAAAAAAAACAACACAGGGAATAAAAACTGCGGATGTATTTATATCTTTTATTACTATTTTATGTTCGTATTCTTCGTTTTGTTATAATGTGATGAAAAAAAAACTTAGATCTATGTTCTAAGTTTATAAAAACAAATCCAGAAAAAAAAACCTACCTGATATATGTAGATAATGGCAGACATATTTACATTCTAGTTGCTGCCTCACACTTCTGCTGTTTACATTTTTGTGTAGGTCAGTGTCTTGTCTGCTCAAACTAACGTTATGGGCTGACGATGGCTTAATGTATGCCTCCTAGCAGACATACTCGCTTCTCGCGACTATCTAAAGTGCAGCTCAGAGCCTCAGATGAGGCAAGTAGTGCATTGCAAGCAAGTAGCTTCGTCAAGGTGAGTGGTTCTCACATGCCCGCTTTAAAAAGGGGCGTCCTCGATAAGTGAAATAAAAAAAAACACTTCTAGAACATTCCCCCTCCCCCCCCCCCCCCACGTCTGTATAGTTGTTTTGTTGTTGTTTTTGTGCACAGAACGTTGGTAAGTCACTTTAGAGAAATCTGACCTTTCTGACAGACGAAAGACGGTTATACTGCAGAATCGCAATGTGGAAGACGCTTTGTAATGTCTTTTTAAAAGAAACAAAAAAAAACAAAAACAGATTGAATAAATTTTGTTGTAGACATCTTTAGCCAAAAATTAATTGTGTCGAAGATCGTATTTAGAGACTGAAACGTCGGTCACGTCATCTTCAGTGAATACTTTTTAAAAACTTTTATCGTTTTTACTGAATTAATACTTATATGAGAATATACAATTAATGGAACTAGATGATTGGCCCCTTTAAAAAAAAGGCTCCTCGCCCCCTTCTCAGCACGTCAGGCCCTCCTGTAAAGTTTGAGAAACGCTGAACTAGAGTAATGTTTTCACACAGAGTTTAGAGCCTACGTGCCGGCACTTACAATAGTGGTGGCCGGATGTAGAGAGAATTGACAAGGACGACGCTGGACAATATCTTGAAATGAATTATGTGCAAAACACAAAAAAAAAAAAAGGAAATAACAAGAATAGGAAAAATCAAGAAGAAAACAACCGAGACAAACTAAACTACAAAGGTGGATGAACACAATAGTCACTTATACAAAACGAATATAAACGATGCTCATTGGGGACCTACTTACAAGAGAGATTCAGAACTTTAGTGCATGGTCAGTGTGAGAGTTCTTCAGTTGGTTTCTTCGGAGAGCTGTTACTGCCGAGTGTTCTCCCTTGTTTGAGAGCGACAAGAGACAGACACAGAGACACCCACATATACAGAGACACATATACAGAGACACATATACAGAGACACATATACAGAGACACATATACAGAGACACATATACAGAGACACATATACAGAGACACATATACAGAGACACATATACAGAGACACATATACAGAGACACATATACAGAGACACATATACAGAGACACATATACAGAGACACATATACAGAGACACATATACAGAGACACATATACAGAGACACATATACAGAGACACATATACAGAGACACATATACAGAGACACATATACAGAGACAGAGACACAGAGACAGAGAACGTTTCTTATTCCCCGTCCATTTTTACAAGTTCGACGCAAAGCATGTATGAGAGATTAAAACATTGAAACTCTTGTGACAGACTTTCCTACAAGGATCAGTTCTAGGCAAAAGGATAGAGACGACTGTCACAAGTCTGTGTAGAGTTTAGTGAGAGAGAAGTTTTTCTTTGTGTTAAAGTAGAAGACTTTTTTTCTATCTGAGGTATATAGTCTGAGTAGTGGAGTGTATGACCATCTAAATGACATTCTTGTATTTCATGTGCATATGTTCAATAGTTTGTTGAATAAAGATACTATCTGATCAAGTTGAGTCTTCCCGAAGAGTTTGCTAATGCCACATAGGTCGCTGTCGTCAAAAGACTTAATTGGGGTTTAGAATGGCTCCTCAGCTATCTAACCCCCTAGATAACAACCTTCAAAAACACCCTTGATAAACCTTTTATAGAGACTTTTTTTTTTACACCAAACAACAGGAATGATAAACACATAGTGTTTTACCATTTACAGGCACACAGGAACTTTATTAATTCTTGACTAGTTACATTAAGGTGGATCTAAGGTTAGAGAATAGTCAAAAATGACAAAAATGTCACTAATTGATTCTTTTAATATTATTAAAATACAACCATTTCTCTATACAAATCAGTTTATTTGATGAAAATATTCGAACTAGAAGTATTTTTTTTTAAATTTTTAGAGGGTAGGGGGTATTGCTTGTTTACCTTAGCCACGGGCATAAATATTTGAGATTTTTTGTGGTAAATGATATTTTTTTTATTATTAAGTTTTACGTTAAAATGCGATATGTTTATAGAAATATGTATACTAAAAGGAAGAATCTAAGGGAATGTACTCTTATCAAATTAGACCTAGTGGTTTAGATTTGACTCAATGAAACTGCAAACAAACAGCATGTGTACGTTGTGGAGTTCAAGCATCATTGTTACTCTAGGATTGTTATAGTTGAAAGGCTTACGTTTGTATCTCTGTATTATTAGCCTAAGTAATTACCTGCACATATGACCATTAAACAAGAAAGTTTTAGAGGTGAAGCAAATTATGCATAAACATGACGTGAACTCTAGAATATGCAGATCTAAGGTCCAGAGGTGATTGGGAGAAAAGGGACAACAAATGTGGTGAAATAATAATGAGCTCTGTGGAGGACTCGAACCACGAACCTCCGCAATCGCCAAGAAGCTACCAGACACTAGTCTAGTATATGACTAGGCCGTCAGGGTCCCTCCACCACCCAAAAAAAAATTTCAAAGGCTAAAACAGAGAAAAATGAAACGACTTGGTAATCAGGACTACACGTCTAGCACCAGAGAAGACATCGACTTCAAGACAGGTAAATATGTAAAAGAGTGTAACTATTGGCAATTTGCCAGGACTCTAACGTGTTCAACGAATGCCGGATGTCCAATTCTAGCTAAGTCCATGGTACGAGCATGTTTCCATTTAGCTTTATTTCCCATTATTATTTTAGACTTTTTTTTTTCAATTTAACCCTAAAACTTTTTTCAGTGTGATGGGATGTCTATTCAATTAATGGAATTTAAAAAATTTTTTTTTTTTAAATTATGAGTAAACAATAAATACAAGCCTATAGAATTACCAACAAGTGATATTATTTTTGTATTTAAGCTATTTCTGCTCTATGTTTCAAAGATAGCCCGCAGTAAATGAAACATTCAGAATAGGTCTTTGAACAACTAAGACAAAGAAAAAACATGGCCAGAATGGGGATAGAACCCACGGCATTTGCGTTATTACCGCGACGCCTTATCAACTCAGCTATACTGTGTATGAAGTGTTTGCTTGAAATGAAAAGTGTAGTAACTTGTACATTTGGGCCAATCATTTTCCACCATTTTACCATTTTCCCTGCGCTATGACGAAAGTGTACACTAATGCTAGGACTACAAAAACTACCAACTTACAATGCAGGTTTGTTGATTCAGCTTGACGTGATAAACAAATGACTGATTAAAAAGAACAACATCTTTTTGCTTTCTGCATATCTCTTTAAAAAAAAGAAAAGGTGCCTCGCATGACATAATTCTATTGCATTAACACTGACTTATTGTTTGCTTATCTCCCTTGTTCGTCTGCTCTCTTGCGTGTCGTCTGTTACTTTGTGGATTTTTTTCCCCTGAACATTTCTCTTGCTGGTTGCCTTTCCTTTACAACACATGTTCCCACATTTTTTTTTTAACGAAGGAATAACGTTGTACTCAGAGGCGTAGCCAACGAGTACCAAAATGCATACTGAGTCCGAGGTGAGCAATTTTTACCAAGCAGTAGGCAGAGGCGGAACAATAGTTCCAGGTTAGATATATCAGTAATTTTCTATTTAAAATAGCTATTGCTCTGCGTTTTAAAAATAAACTTGGAAAATGTTTATTATGCGAGACTGAAATAGTCTAGAGCTGTAAATATATAAACGTCCATAGGTATGTAATTGAACTATATCGGGAAGTAGGGGAGATCACTATCTGTTATGATCTTCAATGACATGAACTATAACGAATTTTATTCGTTAATCTATATTTGAGATAACCGAATATTGAAGTAATCGGTTCCCTTATATGAATGTAATATTCGCATCCTTTCTTACGTTTCAAGGTTTTACTTCAAGGTCATGATGATCTTGGAAAGGGCTACATGAAAAGAATGCACTTTAAAAAACTCACCTTGAATTGGCTTCCCGTTACTGTAAATGTGTTTAAGATATTTTTTAAATAGCGTGAAAACCAAAAATAACTCGCTTTTTGGTGTATCCTGTGTGCAAAATAAAGGCTATGTTAATTTTTTAAAAATTTATGATAATATTTCAGCACTCTTTTGTGTGCACTACAGAGTCTATACATGGGGGAAGCTGTATATTTTCACCCTATGACTTGTAACATAGACCTAAAAAGCTAATGAGTAGCTAGCGAATAGTGATGGGGGAGATATGTAGACCAATTGCCACGTATTGAGATGTTGTTAAAATTATAGCTCAATTCTTTATTCTGTAGTTGGCAACAGTGGTTTTTTTTTATTTCAAGTCCTTAATATTGTATATTTTTAGTATAGTTCCATGTTTTTTATTGTGAATGTCTCCAAGTTACTTCATTCCAAAGTGAGGTTAGCTCATCTGTGTATAAGATTTAGTGTTATGCTTGCAATATGTGTGCAAATTGTTATTTAGCAATTAATGACTAATGCATGTTCACAAAAGAGGAGGGGGGGGGGAGGTAAGGAAGCGGAAATTGAAGGTGAAAGGCATTTACGACTCTGGAGAACACATTTTAAGTTGTGGAGATTTTCTTGAAATCAGTGCGAGGCTTATAGGGAGAAATGGGGCATGTTATGGGTTATGTTTAAGATGAAATGCGCCAGGTGGCGCCCAGTGGAGTGCCCAATAGGTGAGGCCAATGTGAGCTTACAATTTGGGCGCCACATGTCCAACTGGAAACACACAAACTCATGCAGAACAAAAGTTACAAGGCAGCCAGGTCTTCCAAGTTCTAGCATTCAGAACCAAATGTTTCCTGATGTGTCGAACAGAAAGAAAGAAAGAAACGTCAACCCTTTTTTTTTTTTTTTTTGCGAATCTTTTGTGTGTGTGTGTTTTGCTTCAATAATTTGAAGGTGTAGGGCAAAAACATGGAAGTTTGAGAGCAAGAAGTTAGGGTAGCTAACGGAACAAAAACATGGAAGTTTGAGAGCAAGAAGTTAGGTAGCTAACGGAACAAAAACATGGAAGTTTGAGAGCAAGAAGTTAGGTAGCTAACGGAACAAAAACAAAAATCCCAACTTACCCAAAGGTTGTGTGTGTGATAGAGAGAGAGAGAGACAGAGAAAGAAAGGGAAAAAGAAATACAGGAAGGTAAGATGAGAAAGAAAAGGAAGACGTAAAATGAGAGCTAAGAAGAAAGAGAGGAGACACGAAGTGAAGATGAAGAGAAAGAAAGAGAGGAGACACGAAGTGAAGATGAAGAGAAAGAAAGAGAGGAGACACGAAGTGAAGATGAAGAGAAAGAAAGAGAGGAGACACGAAGTAAAGATGAAGAGAAAGAAAGAGAGGAGACACGAAGTGAAGATGAAGAGAAAGAAAGAGAGGAGACACGAAGTGAAGATGAAGAGAAAGAAAGAGAGGAGACACGAAGTGAAGATGAAGAGAAAGAAAGAGAGGAGACACGAAGTGAAGATGAAGAGAAAGAAAGAGAGGAGACACGAAGTGAAGATGAAGAGAAAGAAAGAGAGGAGACACGAAGTGAAGATGAAGAGAAAGAAAGAGATTATATATGTGTGTCTGTGTGTGTGAAGACAACTTGTAGAGAGTGTATAGATGATAGGTTTTAGTTTTAAAGACAGTCATAGAGAGAGAGGTCGAAAGAATTCAGTATAATCGACTTGATTCGAGATGCAACAATGAGATATGCGTTGAGAGGCTGGAGGAGGGAGGTTGGCTACAATCAGTTAGATTATCGTACATTTCCCAAGTTAATTCTAAGGGGGCTTAATCGATGACAACAGTGAAATCCTCTCAACGCCGGAGTTATCGGTCCCTTGTGGGCCATAGGGAATGCGGCGCGCTTTATTTTGGGGCAAATTTTGTACATCTCATCTGAAAAAAACAACTTTTATGGTCCGATTTTTTGAATGACCGGTTTGATGTCAAAATGCTCGCTGAACAGGTGAATTGTTGCCCTTGATTAATTAGTAATCAATTCATTAATAAGAGATTAAGCCCATCAGCATAAACAAAGCACGCTTAATTAAATAGAATATGAACGAGCCATATTGGTCTATCTGTATGTTTGCTTGTCTGTCTGTCTCTATGACAAACAACTTATTTATATATTATGTTTGTGACGTAAATCTCTGGGCTAAGGGGGCATCAGGAACATCAATCATATTGTCTGTCACTCAGCATGTATTTTCACTGGTTTTCAATGTCGTTTCTAGTTTTTGTGATCTAAGTGGAACGGACGGACAGACAGGCGGACACACACAAAACAGAAAACTAATAGCGTTTTCTCTTTAGGAGACCGCGTAAAAAGCACTAATCCGCTTGCAAGTCTAGTCGTTCGTATTATTATCAGTTATAGATTCCATGGGTCATTTTTTTTCTGGCTGGTTAAATAGCTGACACACAAGGAAACAAGTATGATTTTGTCCCTGCATATGGGACAACGAATTCTGATGGTCGTTGTAGAGAGTTTGGGAGAGTTGGTTAAAGTTAAGTTAATCTGTAAGAGTATCTGGTTGCATATAATTAAATAAGTAATATGCTAATGAACAAGCACAGCTAAAATGTATGTAGATAAATATAGTTAGTCATGTTAGATTTCATAGAAAGAATTGTGTAGTAGATGTTCTAGAAATGTACTGGCTATAATAAAAGTTGAAGTGGTTCAACTAAATAATAAAGAGGCACCAACACTTAGCCACGCTTTCATTACGATGAATTATGAAAAACTTGGATAGTCAATAAAATAAAATTGTTTATTTAACGAAACTAAACTGTATTTATTTTTTAAAATGCTTTATTCTTTTTACACATTTTTAGCGGCCAGCGAAAGGAGAAAAGACGCTGTTAGTTTTGTGTGAAATGTCTGTCCGTCTGTCTCGTAAACTAGAAAAGATAGTGAAAATTCGACATCACAATATTTTAGACCATTCAAAGTTGTGATGCAAAGGCTACTTTTTTCTTTTCTGGAAGCGACAAATCTAATTTTTTAAATCACTTATGCAAGCAGTTTTTTCATAAAAATACACCACTTTGACAACTATTAACTATTAAACACTCATAAGCCTAACATACCCAATGTGTTATACTTACAAAGCTAAATACATATTTAATACAAATGGGAAACTAACTAGTGGTAATAAAGCGGAGTCGATACGAAATTCGATTGCTTCTCTTGAGTTGTTAGTTGGCAACAGCTATGTTTTAATTTAGTGTCCTTGACCTTGCTTATTTGCTCTTCAAACTATTTCCCAATCTTCTTTTATTCATTTTGTTGTTTTCCTTAAGGTTCCAAGCCACGATATCCCTATCTCTTTTAAGTGACTGTATTTTATTACCTAGGAATGTGAGCCGACCTTTAAAATTAACATGCACTTTAAGAGCAGATTACAAATCATCCTAGATATCCCAAATAAAAGTGAGCAATTTCAATTGTTCCGTTCTAAAATGTTTATAACTATATGTCCAGTTATATTAAATCTTAAATAGCAAAGGCTTTCCGTGCTATACTTTAAAACCAAGTGCATGCTTGCACAGGTAGAAACAGGTAACGGATGTGACACATACATGCACGCATTCGAGCACCGCATACTTGCTCACATACACATGAGTTCATACATATACACACACACCATTCCAGAGCCTTCCTGCTCTCTCACATACAAAACTACACACATACCCCAGCAGTGCAGTGTCGTGAGACAGACAGACCGGGCTTAAATTAAGTTAAGGGACGGATACGTCAGATACCTAAACCAAATTAACTTGGATCACAATCGGGACAGTCTTGAGGTGGACGAGCGGAAGGAATGGTTGAGCCATTATGTTTGTATCCCAGAGATCCTACTTGCTCACACCAGACACCCAGAACAGCCCTAGCTCTGGAACTCCACAACTCTCTCCAATAGGTTCCCCACCTCTCTCCAATAGGTTCCACACCTCTCTCCAATGTGGTAAACCTATTGGAGAGAGGTGGGGAACCTATTGGAGAGAGGTGGTGAACCTATTGGAGAGAGTTGTGGAACCTATTTGAGAGAGGTGTGGAACCTTTTGGAGAGAGGTGTGGAACCTATTGAAGAGAGGTGGTAAACCTATT